CGTTAACTTGGAGGCAGGGACTAAATTATAGGTATTAGGAGAGTGCTTCACAAACCTGGATGCGTATTAGAATTGCCTGAATAGCTTTGAAAATTACCTAAACCTGAGTCTCTATTATAATTCAGTTGGTGGTATACGGCATAATAAAGTTCCCCAGGTCCTTTGGGTTGGCTTGTATGTTTAGACAGATCAAAGAGATAAGTCTAAACCTTGGTACCAGTGAATGTGACCTTATTTAGACCAAGGGTCTTTGCATATGAAATTAAGGATCTCGAGAGGAGATCACCCTGGATTAAGAGTGGGCCATAAATCTAAAGACCATGTCCTTATAAAATAAAGAAGAGGGGATCAACAGAGATATGGGGAAGAAAGCCATGTGAAGACAGAGACAAGAGCTTCAAGTTAGGATGCCCTAGGCCAGGAGCAACAGAAGCCAATGGAAGCGGAAGAGTCATAGGAGGATTCTCCCCTGGCGCTTTCAGAGCAGGCCCTGCTGACAGCTTGGTTTTGGCTTTCTGGCCTCCAGGGAGGTAAGAGTAAAACCTCGTTGTTAAAGCCATCACATTTGTGGTAATGAGCTGCAGCAGGTCTAATCCTAATTGGTAGGGAATGTTGAAATCACAGAGTTTAAATTGTGTGGTCTTGGTTTAGGGCAGCGGTTCTCAACCTGTGGGTCACGACCCCTTTGGCGGTCGAACAACCCTTTCACAGGGGTCGCCTAAGACCATCCTGCATATCAGATATTTACATTACGATTCATAAGAGTAGCAACATTACAGTTATGAAGTAGCAACAAAAATAATTTTATGGTTGGGTCACAACATGAGGAACTGTATTTAAAGGGCCAGAAGGTTGAGAACCACTGGCTTAATGCTTAAGGGAGTGGACAGACAAGGACCTGCATGGGAGTTACATGAGGTTATTCTTTGGTCTCCTTGTTCTACCCTAAGGGGTTCTGCCATAGGACCAGCTACATGTCAGGAGAGGAAAGTCCAGGGGAGGGTAAAACCAGATGAGCAGCAATATGAAAGGCCAGGGTTTTAAACCACATGATATGCTAGGGAAGGAAAGGTCACCCTGGTGGCGAGGTCCCACCTTACAATACATGTTCCCCCTGTTTTCTCATTGCTGGGCACCTGGGGCTCGCTGCCCTGGTGACCATCTGTACCTGCTTTTGGTTCCTACTCTGCTCATATCTGCCTAACTGCCTACTATATCAAGTTGACATAAGAATGATCCTATCTAATAAAGAGGGAATATGCTAATTGACTGCCCCACCTTCAAAGATGGCAACACCCACAGCGGATAAGGAGGGAATATGCTAATTGACTGTCCCACCCTCAAAGATGGTGGTGCCCACAGCCAATAAGGATGGAATATGCTAATTGACTGCCATGCCCTCAAAAATGGTGGTTGAAAACCACTGGTTTAGGGTAAAAATCACATGAGGTGTTGTTCTCAAAACACAGATTCCTGAACTCAATCTAAGACCTGAATTGGAATCTTTGGGGGAGGAGCATTGGAACCTGGGTATCTTTGTTAGTAACAAGCACATCAGGCGATTACTATCCTCAAGCAAGAGGTTAGGGAAATGCTGACTAAGATCAAGGAACTAGAAGTTGTTTTTAATAATTTCTGCTGTGGCTTTCAATATACTTTGCCAGGGTTTGCTTCATTCCCCACTTTTCTGCAGACAAAGCCTAATCAGGGATGTACAAAAGACCTCTGTAAAAAGATAGATGCAATAGCATGTCACAGACCTACAAGAATACTATGAAGACAACCTAACAGGAGCCTTTACACCATTTTTTTAAAAAAATAATAACATTTAAATATAAAGGTGTGGGAAGAACAGAACAAGACCATCTGGGACACAAAGCATAAAACTGCAGGACAAAGGCAAGGTAAAGAGCTTCTGTTTCTTTGGTTTACATCTTTTTTTAATGAAAATAATTATTGTCATGTTGGAGAGTGAGAAACAAGGCTTTCAATCAAAGTAAATAGAAAAATTATCTTCATAGTAAGACAACTTATCAAATAATAAAGCATCAAACATTTTTGATCTCTGAATATTGATAGTCATTTTGGCATAAGAGGAAGACAAGATTGATAAAGCCTGGAAAAAGGAAAGTAAATTTCCCTAATTTCGAAAATCAGTGAAAATTTGGAAACTGTAGAGAGGTGAAGTTTAGGTATACCTCTGACAATAATTCTAAAATAAACGTGTTAAAACATTTTGTCAGCATTTATAAATATACTGTTTGCTCATGAATAAAATAAAAACAAGACATGGCAAACTAACTCTACTTTTTTTTTGCTGATACAATGTTTCCATAAGTATATATCATGAAAATGCAACGGAAGAGTACACCTGTATTTTAGCAAAGGTTTTTAGAAATCTCCTGATAAACAAGAAGAAAACATGTATGTAAGATGACAGCAAACCTAGGTGAGTAGTTGGTTCAAATCTATACCCGCAGTTCTAATTGCTAGGTCCGTTTTTCCCCAGAAGGATGTTTATAATTGCTCAGCGAAAGGGTCATGACTGTGTTTCCACAGCCTGTCGGGAAGGGGTTTTACGGTGCCTTGAAGACAACCAGCCCTTCAACAACACAGGCAGACCACTCTCCAGCTGTCCCTCAACCATTCATTCTCTTGTTGACTTATCCAATTATTTAAGAACAACGTTTATACACCCAGGGCCATTATCCAGAGTCTGTGTCATTGTGTTGCTGTGACAAAAGGGTTGGGTCGGAGAAGCTATCTCTGTAGCTCTGAGACCTCATTACCTGGTGATGCAGTGACTCACTCGGGCGTCACTGTTGGCCTTGATGACCACGGGCCCTTGGTTCCCACTGGGACCAAGGGAAAGTAGAATTGGGTGAGGGACTCTAGATTACTAAATGTAGTTTTTCTGCTGCTCTAAGAAATGCTTGCTGGGGATGATGGAGTTGTAAATTCAGAGAGGAGGTCAGAGATGCTGCTTTTATTACCCCCACTGGACATTCCTCCAGGCCTCCACCGAGCTTCAATGTTCTTTCTGTATGAAAGATACACTTTATAAAATTTGGCTACATTTTAAAAGCAAATATGGGACAACTAAATTTCACAATGTGTTCATAACCAGTGGTGCACTGAAGGTATTTTGTACTAGCTTGCAAGAGCGGATTTTTAGATTTTCAAGGATTCTATGAGTCAGTTGTTAAGCACACAGCTGTTATTAAAAAAATAAGTTTTATAAGTTTACAATTCAATAAATCATGTTGAAAACGAGGGCAATAAATCCTCAAGGTTCATAATTTCTTAATTATTTAGCTTTTCCAACTTGTGGAAATAATTGGAACATAACATAACAAAGACCATATAATACAAATCCACAGCTAACATCTTACTCAACATGGCAAAGCAAAAATTGTAATTCTTAAATCAGGAACAAACAGTGAAGTCCACTTTTACTGCTCTTATTCAGTATAGTATTAGAAGTCCTAGCCACAGTAATCAGACAAGAAGAAATAAAGAGCATCCAAATCAGAAAGGAAGAAGTAAAATTGTCTTTAGTTGCAGATGACATGATATGGTATATAGAGAACCCTAAAGATTCCACCAAAGCACTATTAAAACTAATAAATGAATTCAGCAAAGCAGCAGGATACAAAATATTCAGAAATTGGTTTCATTTTTATATACCAATAATAAACTAATAGAAAAAAGATAAAGTATCTAATAATAAATTTAATCCAGGAGGTAAAAGACTTGTATTTGGAAAATTCCTAACTGAAGAAAAAAATTGAAGATGATACAAATACATGAATGAATATGTCATGCTCATGGATAGGAAGAATTAACATTATTAAAATGTCCATATTACCTAAAGCAATCTATATATTCAATGCAATTTCTATCAAGATACCAATGGTGTATTTCAGAGAACTAGGATAAAACTTTCAAAAATATATATGGATCCACAAAAGATTTCATATAGCTATAGCAACCTGAGAAAGAAGAGCAAAGTTGGAGGTATCTTGCCACCTGATATCAAACTATACTACAAGGCTATAATAGGCAAAACAGCATCGTACTGGTATGTAAACAGACAATGGAACAGAATAGAGAGCCACAAAATAAACTGATGCCTAAATGGTCAATTAATATATGTCAAAGAAGACAAGAGCATACAATAGGGTAAAGATGATTTCTTCAATAAATGGTGCTGGGAAAATTGAACAGATACATGCAAAAAGTTGAAATTAGACCACTTTCTTAAACCATATACTAGAATAAACTAAAAATGGATTAAAGACTTAAAAAATGTAAGACTTGAAATCATAAAACTCCTAGAAGAAAACATAAGCAGCAAACTTTGATATTTCTCTTAGCACTATGTTTTTTTCCTTGGACATAGGACATAAGATTAAAAATAAATAAATGTAACTTCATCTGTGTAAAATGTTTTTACGCAGCAAAGGAAACCATCAACTAAATGAAAAGACTACCTCCTGAATGGGAGAACATATTCACCCAATGATACATCTGATAAGGGGTTAATATACAAAATTTATAAAGAACTCACACAATTCAACACAAAAAAAAAACAACCAAACCATGCAATTAAAAAATAGACAGAGGATCAGAATAGACACTTCTTCAAAGAGGACATACAGAATGCCAAGAGACCTGTAAGAAGATGTTCAGCATCACTAATTGTCAGAGAAATGCAAATAAAAACCACAATGAGATATCACTCTACACCTCTCAGAATGGCTATTATCAATTTATCAACAAACAACAATTGTTGGCTATGTTGGATCCATTTGTTTTAGCCTAGGAAATGGTACTGTCCCATGAATAGTATATATTCTGAAGTTATCTTGAAAGATATATTTAGACCCAAAAGGCTTGCTGATTTGTAAAGACATGAATAGCCTTTTAGGAGAGATTATAGTGATAGAATCTTCCATCTGACCCAGGATCTACTAATACCATGTTCACTCACAACTTACCACAAGATGTCATTTCATCTGCCTTATCACCACAGTCATCTTCCCTGTCACACAGCCATGCTCTGGGAATGCAGCGCCCGTTACCACAAGAAAACTGGTCCACCTGGCATGTTCTGGCTATGATGGTCAATTAATTTGCAAAGAATAAAGTTAGAGAAGCTTTAAACAACATTATAGATACATCATTCAATATCCCTTTCACATATACTAGTAAGATATTATATAGCCATATTAGATAAAATATTTTGAAAGTAAATTTTTATTTAATTTATGACAATGCTAGCTTGCTTGTCTTCTCTAAAGTTCACGTGCTTATGAATATTTGGTTGCATTAAATTTCATCCAACTTTTAATTTAAAAAAGAAAAGAATGTTGCCGAGCATTTACCAATAAACCAAGGAAACTTTTGCAGTAACGCAGGAGGAAGGATTTGAAAACTATCTCAGGATATCTAGTTTCTAACCAGAGGGCCAGAATTATCCTTTTCCGCTAACATCTTTAATGCATTTATTTCTTGATCTTTACGTGGTCCAACATGCAGAGAGCAAGAATTCAGAATATATATTCGAAACATACATTTAGGCCTAAGATGGATTTTTTTTAACTTGCTTTTCAGTACTGTTATATAAAAATGTATAATCTTTTAATCAAAGTACTAGTATATTAATGAACTGTGCTTTGGGCTTTCTTGAGGGTTTCAATGAACACACACGGAACTTTGCTTTCTACATTCGCCTAAGGCAGGCATTTAAAACTATTCCATTAAGAGGTTATGTTCTACAAGGAGTTTGATCCCCTTTTTCTCCTACAATCAGGTCAACATTTGAAAGCACAAAAGCCTAGAGAGCGTCCCTCTTTCCCAAGGCCTTAGGTTGTTACATTAAGGCAGCGGTTCTCAACCTGTGGGTCGCAACCCCTTTGGGGGTCGAATGACCCTTTCACAGGGATCGCCTAAGACCATCGGAAAACACATATATAATTACATACTGTTTTTGTGATCAATCACTATGCTTTAATTATGTTTAATTTGTAACAATGAAAATACATCCTGCATATCAAATATTTACATTACGATGCATAACAGTAGCAAAATTACAGTTATCAAGTAGCAACGAAAATAATTTATGGTTGGGGGTCACCACAACATGAGGAACTGTATTAAAGGGTCGCGGCATTAGGAAGGTTGAGAACCAATGCATTAAGGGTTGGATTTACTTTTGCTTTTTTTTTTTTCTTTTGTCCCTCTAAGCCACAAATATACTAGTATCTTTCTTATTACCAGTATGTCATCCATTATTTCTTTTTATTGGACCAGAGAAAACAGATGAAAATGTTGGGAAGGATGTACTTAAACTTATTAGTATTGGGGTTAGATGAAGATAGGACAGATGAGGAGCAATTCAGTTATGGGCCTTTGTGGCTATGATAAGAGAACATTATTTAGATTGCATGTACATTTCCTCTTGTTTGCTGGGCTGGAGAACCATAAGGATGTGTTTCTTTCTCTCCACAACACAGTGTCAACTTAGGTACTAATTATTGGTATAAAATAGAATGGCTCAAAGCCAAGTCATCCAAGCACACTAAAATGGGTTTCTAAAATCTGGTTTTCAGAGATCATTTAAAATAATTTCTTAAAAGTCATACCCTAGTATTTCCTTTTAAGCAAAGTATACCTGCAATCTAGAGATATATATCCTTTGTTAGTGAATACTTTAAAAGTTCCTAGAGAAAAACAAATGAAAAAAAAATTACTGGCTTGATTTGATGTATTGGATTGGATATACCATTTCTGTTCTCAGTGTCTATATGAAGAAATATCAGAAAATTTATTATATTATATATATTTGCTTTGCTTATGTGGATAAGGGTCCTGAATCAAATATTTGATATAATATCAGATTTTTCCCCTTTTTACATATTGATTGCTTTATACTAATAAATTTTCAGTATCCCAACAAGCATGTATGCTTCTGAAGTTTGCAATGTTGAATTTCAAGTGGGATTAAATATTTCTATGTTGTCTCATTTGGCCAATTCTACAGATCTTCTATTAAATTATTCCAACATTTAGATTAAATCAACAAAGTCCCTAGGCAATTTTAATTCAACTATGCCTACTTGAAAAAACACACGCATATATTTGTCTTAGCTTAGAGAAAAAGGAAGATGTTGGCATTAGTTTACTTGGTGGTAAGGGGAGGGCACAGAGGTATGAAAAAGATTAAAATTTTTTTTACACATCTTTGTATTGTTCTCTGATTGCAGTAGATACTTTTTAACTTTTGAGTGTTAAGATAAATGTAATGGAGCTCCCCCCCCCTCAAGTCCTCTTCTCTTCCCTCTTTCCTCCTTCCTTCCATTGTGCCCCCTCCCTCCCTTCCCTCTTTTATTTCTTCCTCTCTCCCTCCCTACCGCCTTGCCTTTTCTCTTGTTCTCTCCACTTTTTCTTTCCTAAATCTCTCTTTTGCTTTTTAATCCCCTACCTATTTCATTTCTTAATTATTTATTGTTTTCTTGCTTTAAAGAAAAATATATTATCACAGATTTTATCTCCATTGAATTCTAATTGATCCATAGTAAAAATATATTAAACTTTCTAATGCAATCTTCTTTCATTTGAGGTTCTTATGCCCCTGTATTCTCTCCTGGTCTTTCAGGCTTAATTCTGGCACACCTTTCTTTTGTTAGGAATGCTATGGGGATGAGAAAGGACAGTGAGGAAAAATTCCTAAGAGCCTGGTGTCACCTCATTAACTCTAAAGCTTGAAAAACTGCTATAAACTATTACTGCAGAGTATTTACTGGCTTATCATTGAAGGATCGTATGCCCTGAAAATATATGAATTCATTGTCTGTTCTAATCTTAGAGAAAATGAGCTGTTTAGTTTACTGAGAAAATTGAACTGATTTCAGATGAGAAAGACGTTTCATTGCATAAATCTACAAGTACTGTCTGCCTTTATGATATAATCACATTGACTAAATTAGCACTTTCTAACCACTTGATTTGTAACAAGAAGACACAACCTGCACTTTTCTGATCTTGTTTCCATCAGATCTAAGTTAGTTTGGAGGTGAGATTAGCAGGGCTGCCCCAGAAGACTCTAATTTTGCGGCAAATGCTGCTCTAATGAAGAGGAAATTTACACCTCCTCAGCGGAATTGTTTATCTAGCAGAGAACCAGAAATTCATTGTCACAACGTGAATTTTGTCTCCTCATCACTAATTATGCTTCTTATGCAGCCATGTAGCAGTGAGAAATCCCACAATGCAAAGGAGCAATAAGAAGGGAGGAGAACAGAATTTAACACATTATTCTTAATCCTTACCTTTGCTGTATTTTAATCAGATCATTCTGTTTAAACAAAACCTGTTATATCAAAATGCTCTGTTTATCTCATATAACAAAGTCTGATTTTTTACTACATCAGATTTTCTTAATGCAACTACATCTGTCCAGTTTTAATTCATTCAAAATTTGAGGTGGATGTAAGGAGAACAGATATTATGTAATCTAACCAGAGTTCTATACTGTGGGAAAATGCTGGTCTGAAATTGCATAGGATTGAATCCAAGGATCTTCATGGTTACTATGAGGAAAAAAAAAGAATTTCAAATCTAACTACTTCTCATCTTTGGCTTCTGGGTCTCCCTCATAAGTAGACAAACTTTTTTGTGTGTTGAGGGAGAACAACTAACTGGGCCCTGACTGTTAGCTTTTTTCTGCCCCTGTGTCTGTGCTGGTTCCTCTTTCAGGCACACTCTCCAACCCTCTATCCTTGTTTCACTTCACCCTCTTCAATCTATGCCGATCAACCTTTTACTTTTCTAATAAAATATTTCTATCACCTGAAAAAATACAGGACATAATATCAATAACACCCGTTTGCCATCATACGGTTATATCAAATCTTAATATAATATTTTTCTATACTTGTTACAGATTATTTATTTTATTTAAGGGGAAAATCACAGTTACTCTTGAAGTCCCCTAGGTAATCATTTTCTATCACATGCAATCTCTTTTTTTCTTTCTAGAGGTTATGGCTATTCTTAATTTCTCTTTTTTTCCCTAGACATACTTTTAAAAATCCTATTCTTACCAATTTATATGTCAATAAGCACATATAAAATTGTTTTGCATTTTTATACTTCATTGAAATGGTATTTATTTATATTTGGCAACTCATTCATGTTTTTTTAATTGTTTTTGAAATTCATTACTATTGATATTTGAGTTCTAGTTTATTAATTTTAATTACAAATATCATTCCACTATGGGAATATAACACAATATATCTATACATTCCCCTGTAATGAGCATTTGAGTTGTTTTTATGTTTTCAGAATTGCCAGCATTAGGGGAGTGGAAATTTTATTCATGCTTCCTTGTGCAGAGGTATTAGACTATTAACCTAGTTTTGGAATGACAGATGAAGGCATGCATATCTTCACATTTATTGGATTTGGCTAAACTGACTTCCAATGTAGAAAATCACCAAGAATGTACGACAGTTTCTTTTTTACCCACAATCTTGGCAATGCTTGGTTTTATCAAACTTTCCTAATTAAATGGCCTGCATTGTTATTTAGGCATTATTCTTACGTGTTTTTAAAGGCCTAGCTTGGACATCACCTCCTTCAGAAAGCCTTCCAAGACATCCAAAGACTACATTAGTTGCTCTAATGTGCTCCCATGTGGTTTAATTTAGCGCCGTGAATACTGCATTAGAAAAACCTGTTTACATGTCAATCTCACCATCTTCACTCTTAGCTTCTTAAGGAAAAGTATTGTGTATTTTTTTTTCTCATCCTTTCTCCAGTGTCATGGTAAATATTTATTGAATTAATAGATTTCTGAGGCAGAAGTCCCAAAGGAACAAAATAGGAAATTAGTTTCTTGTAGGAAAGGATTTTCCTTTAGATATAAAGTAGTCACAATGCTAATGGCTACATGCAGTGGATTCAATTGCAAAATAATCCCCCTATGGGAAATCTTTTATCTAGGATACATGTCCGTGTATATACCTATACTGACAACTATATAGAAATGACTCAGCCAGGGAAAGTATCTATTGAATGTGTCATTTTTCCAATATTATGAGCAATGTGACCTATTTATTTTTGTAAAACAAAAAGGAAATACATTGTAACAAGACAACACAGTTTTCAAAGATAAAAGGTACATTTATTTTTCTCTTTATTTTTTATTCAATTTCTTGAGGTGTACAGTGATCAAAATGCCTGTCATGAATATACTGACAAGAAAACCTAGTACTGAGAGGAGGCACTTAAAGTATGGCCATCACTTAAACTGGCACTTAAGGTGTAAGCAAGTTGTGTGCTATTTCCTTGTGCATTAAAGGCCTAGAAAGTCTTAGAAATCTTACTAATTAGGATTGATTGCTGCATATGCTATCATATGCAGAATTTTCACTTTTACTACTATACATAGTTAGTTAACCCAAAATACTCCTTTAAAAATCATGTAGAAACAAGAGGATTTAAAAAATCAAATAGGTCTGGCCAGTATGCCTCAGTGGTTGAGCTTCAACCTATGAACTAGGAGGTAACAGTTCAATTCCTAGTCAGGGCACATGCCTAGGTTGCAGGCTTGATCCCCAGTTGGCATGCAGTGGGAAATCAATCAATGACTTTATCTCATCATTGATCTCTCTCTCTCTCTCTCACTCCCTCCCTCCCTCCCCCTTCCTCTCTGAACTCAATAAAAATATATTTTAAAAATCTAATGAAATAAAGGAGACATGACATTATGAATAGAGTCAGCAATACCTCTTATTTTAAGGTGAAAGCAAATCTATCTGTTTAGGATGTAATAACAGACTGTGATTTGAATCTGAACCTTAAGAGAATAATAATTGCACTGGCTTAGAAAGATGTTTCACTGTAATTATAATAAAAGGCTACCAGGCCAAAGTTAAATTAACCATACCTAAAATTCTAGCTAATCCTCAGATTGATATCGCCTTCCAAGACATCCAAAGACTACATTAGTTGCTCTAATGTGCTCCCATGTGGTTTAATTTAGCGCCGCGAATACTGCATTAGAAAAACCTGTTTACATGTCAATCTCACCATCTTCACTCTTAGCTTCTTAAGGAAAAGTATTGTGTATTTTTTTTTCTCATCCTTTCTCCAGTGTCATGGTAAATATTTATTGAATTAATAGATTTCTGAGGCAGAAGTCCCAAAGGAACAAAATAGGAAATTAGTTTCTTGTAGGAAAGGATTTTCCTTTAGATATAAAGTAGTCACAATGCTAATGGCTACAGTACAGTGGATTCAATTACAAAATAATCCCCCTATGGGAAATCCTTTATCTAGGATACATGTCCGTGTATATACCTATACTGACAACTATATAGAAATGACTCAGCCAGGGAAAGTATCTATTGGATTTACCATTTTTCCAATATTATGAGCAATGTGACCTATTTATTTTTGTAAAACAAAAAAGGAAATACATTGTAACAAGACAAGATACTTAGTTTTCAAAGATAAAAGGTACATTTATTTTTCTCTTTATTTTTTATTCAATTTCTTGAGGTGTACAGTGATCAAAATGCCTGTCATGAATATACTGACAAGAAAACCTAGTACTGAGAGGCGGCACTTAAAGTATGGCCATCACTTAAACTGGCACTTAAGGTGTAAGCAAGTTGTGTGCTATTTCCTTGTGCATTAAAGGCCTAGAAAGTCTTAGAAATCTTACTAATTAGGATTGATTGCTGCATATGTTATCATATGCAGAATTTTCACTTTTACTACTACACATAGTTAGTTAACCCAAAATACTCCTTTAAAAATCATGTAGAAACAAGAGGATTTAAAAAATCAAATAGGTCTGGCCAGTATGCCTCAGTGGTTGAGCTTCAACCTATGAACTAGGAGGTAACAGTTCAATTCCTAGTCAGGGCACATGCCTAGGTTGCAGGCTTGATCCCCAGTTGGCATGCAGTGGGAAATCAATGACTTTATCTCATCAGTGATCTCTCTCTCTCTCTCTCTCTCTCTCTCTCTCTCTCTCTCTCCCTCCCTCCCTCCC